CCAATTTCACCCCTTGAAAACATTAGAACTGTCTACGGTAGAGCTGCACGACGTCGTGCGTGCAGCATTACTCTACATAAAAAGAGTGTCCTTCTCAGGCCATAAGCGGGAGTTCACTTTGAGAATGCGCAGCGTTCAGAGAGCTGCAGCGTGGCGTCCAGTGAATACCACTATTTACAATAGAGGTTTCAACTCGACAGGGGTAGCTTCGAAGTGTGTACATTCATTAGAAGCTCAAGTTACTTCGGGCATATCAGTCCCGATAAAATGGCATCCATTTAGTGCACAGATCACCCGGAGCCACGGAGCATCCGCAACACGCACACGAGTATTAACAAGACGATGACTGATTACTGGCTTAGCGTGGAGAAGTTCACTCGGAGACTAAAAATATTGGACGATAATCCGTTACTATCCCTAAGAAGCAAAAGTCTGCATTATTTCTCTGCATCAAGCAGATACCACCTTTATTTGACCGCATGTTTAGCAAGCTGCCAAGATCAACCACACGGTCGAGTAGCAGAGGAAACCAGTGCTCCACAATGCTTTCAGACGCATTTAAAGTAGAGTAAAGCTATATGCCATACGTCGTGCAACTTGACCGGAAATGGCAGTACGCATGACGCGCAGAGGTCATGCCATTTGGGTAACCCTTTTCGGACGGCGCGTGTATCACCGGGGAGCTCGTTAATCATCATCATCATCATCATCCTCCCCTCCCTCGCCCCCCCGGCCTGCATTCACGCCGCGAAGCGGCGACAGTGTGCGGCTGCCAGGGATGGGCAAAAGACATGCAAATATGTATCGAAATACAAAATACTTCGTCAAAAATGTAATTAATTACAAATCTAATTACGTTTTCAAAAAAGCATTTAAGTACAAAATACAAATACAACCAAACGTATTTGGTTTCCTCCAAATACTTTTCCAAACACATTCCTCAAAATTTGCGTCAGCAACTTCAGGGCACCTGCAACGGGTTTCTAGGTACCTCATTTCAATTTTGCATCGTACACTCGGGAGTTAGTGTGCGAGGGTCTAGTAACGTAACAGAAATATAATCACACACACAAAAAAAGATGTGATCAGCTTGGACGTAATAGGTGAAAAAGCACAGAGCTTCAATCAGCTTTTTTGTCGATTACATTTTGCTGTAGACCTACAAAGACCGAGACGACCAAGACGCGCAGCACTACCTAAAGAATTTGTTATGAAAACCTGGACGACCGCGCATTTAGAATGTTCCAGGTAAAAATATGAATGGAAATCAGGCTGCAAAGCATCGCAAGTTGTCACAGACACTTATTTAGCCAGTCTGCCTGTGACCGTCGATTCGTCACTATTCTTGCCCTGGACTAGCACCGTAATCGCAAAGCATTCAACGCTTGTGCTTGACTGAGAGACACTGCATTCAGTGCAGAACGTAGTTTTCTTCCTGCTCTGGGCAGCGCCTTTAAAATAAAGCCAAAGGAGAAAAAGGAAAAATCCCATGGTCCAATAAAGGATGGAGACTATATCTTACAACCACAAGCATAAAAACAAGAATTGTCGTGACAATAAATTTGAGGGATATATTTTCGCCCACAATATTGTATTCAATTACAATTGTATTTGAAATGCCCACGTTTTAGTATTTAAATACAATTGTCAAATACATTACCCAAGTTATAATTAAATACACATGCAAAATACACAAAGTATCTGAAATACGTATTTCAAATACTTGTATTTGAAATACTGCCCATCCCTAACGGCTGCTAAGTACAAAACCATTTACCGCGGCATCCACCGGCAACCCACGCACCGCTGTCCTCGATTGCACCACCGGAAAAGGAGTCCCATACCATTTAGTTCATAGAGTTATTATAATGTACGCTAGAGGTTCAAGTGGCGCTAGTGTGCTGACGCAAATTGAAGCAGACAGCAACCAGTCGAAAATTGACTTCCGGTAATGCATTTCTATGGGAAAAAGTGAGTGCATTTTCTCCCTGCGCTCGACCATAAGAGCAAATATCCTAAATAATTTGTACGTACTAGGTAGTTTGGAACATTTCTCAGTCAGGCCGACGAAAGAATTGGTCAGTTACGGCGTTTTTCTCTTGAATTCATCGCACTAAAAACGGTGCTAAAACGGATTCGTACGTGTATTTATGTGCACTGTTGGACACTGTTAGCGCGAACGCGGCGTCGGCGATTTCCAGCATGGGGGATATACATATGTCAAACGAACGAAGGACATCTGGAAAATCAAGAGCGACGGCAAGAACTATGCAGCAACACCGGATCAGTAACTCGCAGTGCATGTACGATCAAAATAAATTGAAGGCCACGTGATCTATTCCGATTTTAAATAAGTGAGTACCGCTTTATTCTTTCTGTCCTGAGCGAAGCTGCGTGTTCTACGTTCAAAATATCACCCGTGCGCTAAACACCTTTGAGAACAAGTGCGCGATAAAAGCTGCCCGGCAGAGAAAACAATACGAAGAGACACCTTTCATATCCCACGGACTTTATTCCCTACGTTGAAGGTTTTTATCCGCTCATGCACGACGGGATCATTTTCATATGGTGACAGGACTGGCATATTATCAATATACAAGCGTCACCGGAATGCTGGCGAGCCTTGAACACACTCTATATTCGTTTCGATCGTAATTTTGCTCTGAATCGTCGCTTGTTTTTACACACCTGCTGCGGAACATACGTTCGGGACTGAAATGCAGCGAAGTTAAACATCGCTCACTGATGAAGAAAAATGCGCTAACTATAGCAATTACACTTTTACAATGTTAATTAAGACACATACTATTCGGTACGACCGAAATAACCAAAGTGTTCCATGTTATTTTCCTGCGAAGAGACGAAATGCACGCGCGTTTTCCCATAGGAATGCACAGGAGCACCGCAAAAGTAGACTGGTTGCTGTCTGCTTCAATTTGCGTCACGGAAGTCGCATAGACACTAGCGCCAGTTGAACCTCTAGCGTACATTATAATAACTCTATGATTTAGTTAAGCCGAATTTCAATGATGACATTCGTTTTTTTTTAGTGTTTATTGTAAATGGGAAATGTAAATATCGCCAAATGCTCGACAAAACTAAATGTAAAAAAAAGAAAAAAGAATTTAAGCTCACACGGGGGATCGAACTATATATAGGGTCCGCTGCGAATCAAGCAGACATCTAACCACTGAACCACGCCAACGCTTGGGAAACTCGTAACCATTCGTTTTAAACGAGTTTCGCGTCGTGCGTATAGCCAATACCACCTAGAACACAAGGCGTGCGCGTTTCCTTCTCTAAACGTCATCACTAGTAGATTCCCCCAGCGCCTCCTAAGTAGCCCGGATGAGCACCATCGTCTGCTACATCGTCGGCTCCATCGCCTGCTTCAGTGGTCGTGCTCAAAACGAGCTTGCATTGCTAGGACCGGCAATCTTGATGGTGCCGGATGCACGTTGCAAATGAATTGTGGTAGCTCGTTATTAGCTCGCGCTAAGCAGTCGCGCACTTAGTTGTGGCCTATACAAGGCCTAGCTCTATGCGCATGGGAAGGCGAGAAGCTACACGCTGGGCGTCCCGAACTTGGAATATACGACACGTTTAGAGAGAGCAAGCTAACACTGCGTTCGGAACAACTTAACGTTTACTTACTTACCTTAGAAAACAAGGCCGTCAACGCCGCTGACACGCGATAGCTAGGTCGAGCTCGGATTCCGAATTCCAGCAGCGGGCCTATTCCGCGGTTCTGCGCCAGACGCCAGCGCAATGCGCATGCGCGAGAGAGAGATGTCTTCCTGCGCGCGGCGAACCACGGCTCACGGGCGCTGTACTTCCGCGGTCTGATAGAGTTCCATAAAAATTGCTGGGTTTTTGGAACTTCTGGACGTGTTAAATTTCTGTGTACCAGTTGAACCGACTATAAATTGTAACCTTGTAAGGCTCTTTTTATTGATTCGGATCAGCTCATGCTTATTGCCTAAGTAGCAGGTTTCAATGCATATGGTACAGTTCCAGTTTTTGAACGCAAACAGCACATTAGATGCATTGCCAGAAAACGGGACATGTTCTATTCGGTTTTTACACGTAGATTGATGGAATTTTCTAACAGTGCAGAGTGTGAGAACTGTTTTAGTCCTCTAACAGTTTTACACATTTTACTTGAATGCCCAGCGTATGACCAAGAACGTCGAAAACATTTTTCTCAATTATATAACGAGCATACGCCTTTACACCGTAGTATTCTACTTGGCAACGACCCACTTGTACCACACAGTTGTGTTTTTAACTTTTTGAGAGCTATCGGTCTTTTACACCGGCTATAATTTTATATTCAACTTCATCTCCATCACTATTTACAAGTCATATACATAGTTTTAATCCACCACAGCTACTAAAGCTCTTTCTCCTCTGAAACCTTCTCTGCAATAGTCTGTATCTGGCGCATCATAGCCTAAGATGCTTTTGCGCCATAAAACCCTAATCAATCAATCAATCAATCAATCTTTTACTGGGAGAATATCCCCTCATCCCATTTGACCGTCTAGTGACTTATATTACTAACGCAGGTTATATTAATCAGATCTAGTTCCGCATAGCTAATTAATATTTTGTAGCACAGTAACAATAATAGCTTGTTTTCCTTTTAACTTTGTTTGGCGCAGTATGGCCTCCGTTGCTGTTGCGCCATAAAACCCCCAAACAACAACAACAACAACTTCTACTATCCCCTCTCTACTTTCACCCTTGTCTACTCCTCCTTTTCACTCTTCTCATTTCCCTTTTTTCCTTTTCAACTCCTTTGGCGGCAAGGGCTAACCTTCGGTGGCGACGGACACCTTGTCCAGAACCACTCTTGGTTATAGAGACTGGGCAGCACTAATAAAGTAACGTCTTCAGCCAAGCCTTTCTTGTCATGGAGCGTTACCTATTCCCTTGTTGGGCTCGGTGGTGGGCGGTGCACCACAGTTTCTGAAAACCCTCCCCCTTTATATGGGTTCTCAAGCTAAAAAACCTCCTGATCGGGACCTGAAAAGGGTCCGCACCGAAGTACCGTTTCAATTTGAAATGTACGTCCCTTGTTTCCGAAAAGTTTCCGAGATTTCTAGTTTTACAATCTGAAAGTGAAAAGCCACTGGGCAAACTGTCCCCCTTCCTTGTAGCCAAGGTACTAGAAGGCGTTGTTGGTCAGAACTTTCATGCGAAGAAAATGGCATCCGGAGACCTCCTTGTAGAGATCAGTACAAAACAGCAGAGTGATGCCCTCCTGGCTCTCAACTCAGTTTCGGACTACAAAGTCACTGTTTCTCCGCACCGCAAACTGAACACTGTCCAACGAGTTATCTCCGAGGACGACCTGCTTGACACATCAGACACAGAGTTAGTGGAGGGCCTCTCTAGCCAAGGAGTTCTCGCTGCGCGACGAATCAATATTCTTCGTGATGGCAACGAACGAAAAACAAAGCACATCATCCTAACCTTTGACAGCACCACTCTCCCTGCGACTGTAAAGGCAGGCTACCTACAGTGCAGAGTCCGGCCCTACGTGCCGAACCCCCAATGGTGCTTCAAGTGTCAGCGGTTCGGCTATGGGTCACTGTTATATTCAGTTTCGGTATTCATTTGTGTTCTTTCACCCCCAGGGGGCGCGTCCTTCCTTTGTGTATATATTTGATGTATCGTGCAGAATAAAGGTTTTTCCGTCCGTCCTTCGAAAACATCACATTGGCGACGAGGATGGGATCCGTTCCAAGCTACCTTCGGCACCCCGTACCGTCCGGCTACGCCCGTCCCGCCATGAGCTTCCCCGGCCTCGCTCCGCCGCCGCCGTTCCTCCAGACGCCCGGCCGTCCGTCCCTGCCATGGGAGGAGTGGGAGCAGACTTTTACAGTCTACCTTCTAGCGTCCGGAGCAGCTGAGTGCCCACCAGAGCGACGCAAGGCCATTCTTCTGCATTGTTTGGGGGCGGAAGGGCAGCGTGTTTTCCGGACTTTACCTGCAGGGTCAAGCGCCGCAGCACCGGAAGTTCAAGATAAGCCTACCGCGGCCCCTACTGACGTGTACGCGTCTGTACTCGCCGCCTTACGGAAGCAGTTTTCGACGTCGTGCAACGTAGTCGTCGAGCGTCATCGTTTCCACCGCCGCAACCAACACGCAGGCGAGTCCGTTCATGACTTTGTTGCTGCTTTACGGCAGCTCGTTTCGCATTGTTCGTTCAATTCACAAGATGAGGCTCTCCGTGACCAATTTGTTGCCGGCGTTGCTCCCAATCGCGTACGTGAACGGTTCCTACTCGAGGGTTCCTCCCTGTCGTTCGAGAGCGCAGTACGAATCGCTCTTCAGTTTGAGCAAGCAGCTGAAGAACTAAAGGAATTCTCTGCTTCAGTCGAGCCTGTTTCTGTGCGTCGTCCGCATTCTTCGCGAAAAACCAGTTCACAGCCAAAAGAGCATTGTCAGCAGAACTTTTCAAGGAAAGCGAGCGGTTCACGTGCGTCGCAGGGGCACCGCCCCCCCTCGGCGAGACAGAGATAGCCGGTCTGTTTCACCTCACTGTTTTCGGTGCGGCTCGCGGAACCACCGCGCATCAGCGTCACAGTGCCCAGCGCAGGAAAAGAAATGTTCGTTTTGCGGCGTCAAGGGCCACTTTCAGAGAGTATGCAACCGCAAGCGACAAACGCAAGGCAGGGTTCGTGAAGTTGATTTTGATGACGATGTTTTGTCAAGTGGAAGTTCTGAGCAAGTTTTGACCGTGCAGCATTCTGCTCGCAGAGCAATATACATAAAAGTGGGCGTAGCGGATGTCAGCTTGACATTTCTTGTTGACTCGGGGTCGTCTGTTTCGATTCTGTCTGAACACGCGTTTCGTCGACATTTTGAAAGCGTTTTGCTCCTTCCAGCTCCGCACGTCACCTTGCTTGATTTTTCTAAGCGTCCAATTTCCGTGCTAGGGTGTTTTCAGGCAGACGTTCAATTTAAAGGGCGCTCTGCACCACTTCTTTTCTACATCGTTCGCCAAGGCACCTGTCTGATTGGCCTGGACGGCATTAAGGCTCTAAATCTTCGAATTCAGGGTTCCACTCTCGAGTGCCTGCACACGTCCGTCGCCCCGCCGCCGCGTGTCAATGACCCGACACCTTCTCACGTTCCAACGCAGTCAAGAGGGCAACCGAGGCAAGCAAACCTTCCGCCAGCCTTGGCACCCGACTTCGTTTCACTTTTCAGTCCTGAGTTGGGCCTTGCTAAGCGATTCACGCATCGTGTCAAAACTCGGCAAGGCGTGCAGCCGGTAATTTCGAAGCTTCGTCGTCTCCCATATTCACTCCGGGAACCAGTAGCAGATAAACTTCGCAGGTTGCTGAGCCTTGACATCATCGAACCTATCGATGCTTCTGAATGGGTTTCCCCCATTGTTGTCGTTGACAAGAAAGATGGCAGCTTCAGAATCTGTGTTGACCTTCGGGAGCCTAACAAGGCTATTGTACCAGACAGCTTCCCATTGCCTCACACAGAGGAACTTCTTCATGCCTTGGTAGGCGCGACACACTTCTCAAAGCTTGACTTGGCTTGCGCCTACCATCAGGTTCTTTTGCACCCTGACAGCAGGGATCTGACAGCCTTCATTACGCATGAAGGACTCTTCCGATTCAAAAGAGTTTGTTTTGGGTTAGCTTCTGCCCCAGCGGCATTTCAGAAGATGATGGCCAAAATTCTTCATGGCTGCTCTGGAGTGTTGTTCTACATTGACGATGTGATAGTCTTTGGGAAAAGTGCAGAAGAACATCTTTTGAATCTAAAAACGGTCTTGCAGAAGGTCAAGGACGCCGGCCTGAAGTTGAACAACAAATGTCTCTTCGACGTTCCAGAACTTTCCTTTCTAGGCCATAAGGTCACGGCACAAGGTATCGCACCGCTTCCAGAGAAAGTGGACTCGATAATTAACACTCCAGTGCCAACAGATGTTGCGGCCCTCCGGTCGTTCCTAGGTCTTGTCGAGTACTATTCCAAATTCGTCCCACGCTTGGCCGAAGTGGTCGAACCTATGCGCGTTCTGCTTCGCAAGAATGAGCCTTTCATCTGGTCAGCCGAAACAGACAGCAGTTTTCGGAGAGTCAAGGAAATGCTTTCTTCGAGTACAGTTCTCCACATGTTCGATCCATCACTTCCAGTCATCGTGTCGACCGACGCTTCCGACTGCGGTTTGGGAGCTGTCCTGCAGCAGCAAAATGGCCACGAGCTCCGCACAGTTGCTTTCGCGTCTCGCAGCTTGTCACCAGCTGAAAGAAAGTACTCGGTTGGTGAACCTGAAGCATTGGCATGCATTTGGGCGTGCGAGCGATGGCACACTTACCTGTGGGGTCGCCATTTCAAGATTCGTACGGACCATCAGGCGTTAGTATCATTGCTATCGTCGCAGGGGCGTGGAAGAAGGCCACTCCGGATTGCACGCTGGAGTGCACGACTCCTGTGTTACAATTTCACGGTCGAGTACCGCAAGGGGTCCACCAACACTGTGGCCGATGCTCTTTCTCGGTTGCCAGCTCCTACGTCGGAGGCAGAACTTTCCAAGGAAGAAGAAATCGTCTCGTTGGTCGAGCCGGCCTCCATGACGAAGGAAGAATTCAAGCAAGCCGTCCTCAACGACGATTGCCTGCAAACCGTCAAGTCGTTCGTGTGCGGCTCTTGGCCACCACAAAAGTCCGTACCAGAGGAGGCAAAACCTTTCTACTCGGTGCGCGAAGAGCTTTCTATTGTTGATGACCTGCTGCTGCGCGCAGAGCGCCTCGTTGTTCCGTCCTCCCTCACAGCTCAGTTCATCGCAGTTGCCCATGAGACACATCCGGGCATCACGCGCACAAAATCGCGACTTCGTGAGCTATTCTGGTAGCCACGAATGGACAAGCAAGTGGAATCGGCCGTGAAAAACTGCCACATCTGCCTGGAGGCAGATAAGTCTGCCAAAACATCGCCAGTGCCATTGCAGCCTGTTGAGTGGCCTGAAAGACCCTGGCAGAAACTGGGCCTAGACATTGTTGGCCCATTGGAGCATGCACCTCGCAATAGCCGATTTGCTGTAACATTGGTCGATTACCATTCCAAGTGGCCAGAGGTATATTTTTGCAGCGAAGTGACCACAAGCACCGTAAAAGAATTCTTAACCAGTGTCTTTGCCCGTGAAGGATACCCGGAGGAGATTGTTTGCGACAATGGGCCGCAGTTCACTTCACGTGAATTTATAACCTTTCTTCAAAACCGAGCCATCAAGCTGTCGCACTCATCGGTATACTACCCCCAGGCGAACGGGCAAGTCGAAAGGCTTAATCGAACTTTGAAGAACTTCATCCAAGTTTCACTCCTCGAAAGGCGACCTATCCGACAAGCAGTCACTGACTACCTTGCTATTTACCGTTGTACAGCACAGGCTACCACTGGGGTTGCCCCAGCAGTCCTGCTGCATGGGCGGATGCCTCGAACCAGGTTGGATGTTGTAGGGTTTTCGGCACCAGCGTTCGCAAAAGACCCAGCAAAGGAACTGGCGCGACTGCGTCAAAAGGGTCCGGCTTCAACAGCAAAGCAGCAAGGAGTACACGGACCGGAGGAGAGCTGCTAAGGAGCCGAAAATAGCAGTGGGCGATTTCGTTCGCGTCAAGAAGCCGTCAGTTCGCTTCAAGGGAGATCGCGCCTTTTCTTCGTCGACTGAAGTGTTGGCGAAGAGGGGACCTGTCTCTTTCAGACTTGGAGATGGCCGCACATGGAATGCCTCCAAGCTTTCCAGGGTTCCAGAGAGGGGCACGAGTCCACCGTCCCAACGTTCAGAGCCACCGGCGCCGCAGCTTCCGGTTCGAGTGCCGCAGCCTGACCTGCCGCCGCCGCCTTCTCCCGGGTCGCAGCCGCCGCCTCCTGGCGGACTGCAGTCTGCTGCACCGCAGTCGCCCGTGTCGCCCGTTCCTGATCCGCAGCTGCCTGGACTGGAGCCTGCCATGCTGCAGCCGCCTTCTCCTGGGACGCAACTGCGGTCCCCTGGGGTACCGCAGCGCTCTACAAGCTCACTACCATCCCCAGCCGTGCAGCGTCCCCATCGCACGCGTCCCGAGAGCACCGACGACCGGCCTGGCTCAAAGACTATCAGACCGACTAGTTGTCTATGTGTATAGCAGTGGTTATGTGGTGTGTAAATATGTACAGTGCATGCTTAGGGATATCTAACACTTACTAGCAACTAATCACTACGAATAAGGGAGGGAGTATGTTATATTCAGTTTCGGTATTCATTTGTGTTCTTTCACCCCCAGGGGGCGCGTCCTTCCTTTGTGTATATATTTGATGTATCGTGCAGAATAAAGGTTTTTCCGTCCGTCCTTCGAAAACATCACAGTCACGTAGCTGTCGGGGGGCGGACACATGTGCTAAGTGCTCAAGCAAAGAACATGTTGCCGACAACTGTGACAATAAGCCAAAATGTGCTAACTGCGAAGGTAACCACCCTTCATACTCGCGTTCTTGCCCTCTCTGGAAGCAAGAGAAAGAAATTCTGACGCTGAAAGCCAAAGAAAACATACCATACGTAGAAGCAAAAAAAACTTATTTTCTTTCTTATCGAAGGGTGGATATGCCGAGGTCGTGCGCAGGGGACCGGCACGACCAGTGACGGCATCCGCGGGAACCCAGACGTCTCCGGATGATCTGCGGCTCTCGTTGAAGTCCCCTCCTGAACCCACAGGGGCGGTGCCAGTGGCACCGGGTCCCAAGCCCAGGGTGGATGCTGGCTCACTAGCATCCACTTCAAAGCAGGGGAAGGCCCCCCCCGGTCGGGGCCGGCCACCCCGCACCTCTGGTCGGAATAGACCTGGTGAGCCGTCGCGGCAGTCGACCCTCCAGGGGCGGCCGTCGGCGACGCATGAGGAGCCCATGGACGAAAGTGGGCCCAGATCCGACGAGGAGGCTCCCTCCTCAGGATCGGTGTTCTCTTTTTCTGCCCCCAGTGACTCCACTGGGAGGCAGGCAGATACGTCGAAAAAGAAAAACTCTCCACGTGGAAAAATTGATTTTAAACCATAGTGATGTCATCTTATGTTTCGTTCTGTTTCTTAGTTTATTTTTTTATTTTTACCTTTTTATTGCTATGAGTAAACATATGGGCGTCATGCAATGGAACTGTCGCGGCCTCCTTCGTAATATTGATGACGTGAACATGTTTCTTAATGAGCTCCGTCCCGTGGCACTCTGTTTACAGGAAACTCACCTCAATGACAATCATACACAGATCTTACGTCATCACCAAGTTTTTAGGAAGGATCGCCTTTCCCCCACTTTTTCCGGTGGTGTTGCAGTAGTAGTGCAGAATGGGGCGGTGTGTGCTCAAGTACCTCTTCAAACACGACTTGAGGCACTGGCAGTTCGTGTCCTCTTTGATCGCCTCATCACCATTGTATCGCTCTACCTTCCACCTAACAGTCCATTGCATCTCCATGAACTCCAAGGCCTGGTAGATCAACTGCCCAAGCCTTTTTTAATCTTAGGTGATTTTAATTCCCACAATCCTTTGTGGGGAAGCTCTCGTCAAGATTCCCGCGGTGGAGTTATTGAACGGCTCCTATCGCTATCT